TTTAAACATCTTTTGTTTTGTTTCATGTCACGATTCTCAGCTTCCTCAAGGATAAATACTCCAATGTTTGCTAAAATTCAATAATTTGCTTTTTTACGCAGGCAAATATAAAGACATAAAGATAAAAAAAAAAAAAAAAAAAAAAAGTGCGGTATAGTGGCAGTACAGGAGCGGTACTCTGTTGCTTTGCTCAGTGGCTTTAGCCACCTAAGTGAATTGCTGATGAATAATCAATGAATTATCAGGTACAATATATCAAAATGTGGTTATTCAAAGCCTGAGATGTGCTTTATTTGGGTGTTTTGTTTTGTGCATGAGATTATGGCAATCCTAGAACCTGTTCTAAACTTGTCACTTAAGCAGATATTAATGGAAATTAAAATTTGACAAAGAACAAAACTGTGCTTATGAATCTGTTTTAGATTCTTCAAAAAGGGAACCGAGGTGGAATTTTTGGAAGTACCTGGTCAATCCTGAGGGCCAAGTGGTGAAGTACTTTAGGCCGGAAGAGCCAGTTGAGGCCATCAAGCCTGACATCGTAGAACTCATTAGACAAATCATCGTCAAAAAGAAAGAGGATCTATGAAAATGCTACTGAGCCACACTAATGCAACAACAGAGAAACAGCCAGAGAATCAGGTCTCGCTTTGGTCTGACAAACGGATTAGGCATTGAAGACTCTTTTTAATGTTTTCTTCCTAGTTGGTATGATAATGATGTTCCCAGGACATGTTACCTAAAGCAAAATAAAAATAGCCAAAGAACTAAAATGAAATATGTTAACTACTTCATCTGATGACATTGAAAAATGCAGAACAGACAGTCACCAAGGTGCTTCACTATCTTGTTGTTCAACCTGACGTTTTCTAGGGTTTTGATTTATGGAGACACCAATACGGCATACCACTGGACTCAGGAACAGGGTATGTGACTACAATTTATAGAGTAACTAACTGTAACGACTATGTTTATATAAATAAAACGCAATAAATGATGAAAGATATAAAATACTCATACAGCAAGTCTTTATATATGTTTGCTTCATGTACAGGATTTTATTATTTTTTTAAGTACAGCTTTCTAGTGTGTTTTACTATATCTGGCCAAACAGTCATTTATAAATTGCTATCATAATATTTGAAAAAGTCTTCATATTCAATACCTTTCTTCCTCTTGTGCTCTAGAAGCAAGTCATTCTATAAATACAATGCTAATATATTCAGACTGAGACAGTCATTTGGAAAGAATTCTGCACTGCATCATTCCCACAGCTGAAGCAGAAAGACCAACTCCAGATGGACAAAACTCTAATGCAAAAAGGGGGAGGGGGTGACTGCAAGCACAGGGTGTCCTAAAGTGTGGGCCTTGTAGTGGAAACACAATATACTTTTTCTATCAAAGTCAGGATTTTTACATTTATCTACCTTGTAAATATTGGCTAATAAAACCTGCCAACTTGGTAAAGGTTGTCCCATGAAATATATTACTTATTTTATAGAAGAATTAAATATGAAGACTGAGGCAAATGTGTGTAAATAGTCATAAAATTTGGCTAAGAAGTGAGAAGATCCAATTAAATAGCCTGTGACTTGTCTCCCTAATTCCGACCTAATGGGTGAAAGTGAAAATATTTTGCATTAAATTCAGTAATGGCACCACCATACATAAAGTTTGTGTAAATGTTGGACTGAGATAGATAGATAGATAGATAGATAGATAGATAGATAGATAGATAGATAATCTTTTATTTACTTATTTGGTACAGGGTCTCACTATGCAGCTCAGACTCATAGTGATCCTCCTATCTCAGCCTTCCCAGTGCTGGGATTACCCACGTATACCATCATGGTGGCTGGCACTGTGGGCCTGGGGTTCCAGGCCCGAATGGCATATGATACCAGGGATTGAACCCCCGTCCTTGGGCTTGCCAGACAGGTGCTTAGACGACTGAGCTGTCCCCTAGAGCGCCTCCTGCTTCAAAGTCTATATGCAACCACAGAGCCCCAGATGTCTTTGATGAGGCACTTGGCGGAGTCCGAGGCATAGTATTCATTGGCAGCGGCAACTGACAGTGAGAGCTGCAAGAATATCACATGAGGATGTGACAACCCACTGCCATCATCAGCTGCAGGATTTGGGTGTCACTAACATTATTTTCCTCACCTGTAATGGCAGTGGACTTGTGGAACAAAAAGCCCCTTCCCGCTCTAGACGTCAGTAAGCTTAACAGGAAAGGAAGAACAAACCTGCAGTACCAGTGAAAAACAGAAGGCACCCGACAAGCCTACCTAGCCTTCGCAATTTTACCCTGAAGAGCCTACAGGCAATTGGAGTTCTGAGCCTCTCGACGAAATTTTGATCAGGGCAACCCTCTCGGCGCCGTCTCCCCAGTCCTCTTGCCAGGTTCCCCCTTCTGTGAGCCTCTGACAGTCGTGGCGCTGCAGGGATGTTGTCCTGCACTGCGTTAGAGGTGTGAGCACACTGGACGGGCCAGCACCACCCAGGAATCACGGGCGGATGGCAGCAGAGCTGCGAGGGAGGACCTGGGCTGTACCCGTGAATGTGCTGCTGATGTCCTTCCTGCCAGAAGTCACTAGTTGTCTCCAAAGCCAGAAAGAATGGGTTTCTTATACAAGGTGAGATCAAAACATAGTGAATGTTTCAAGTTTTAAAAACTACTACAGTAAAAAGACACATTAACATTCATCCCCCTCAAAAAATTTTTAGAAAAAAAAAATTAAAAGTCTGATACCTCAAGTGGACTGAAGCTCCTGCTTAGGCAGAGCGCAGTGGCCGGGGTTCAATCCCTGCCGTGCCATGCCGGCCCTGCCCACAGGGCACACTGAGACATCAACCGAGACTGGGCATGGTGGCGTGTGCCTGTAATCCCAGCACTTGGGAGGCTGAAAACAGGAGAATCACTACAAGTCCGATCTACGTAGTGAGACCCTGTAGACGCTGTACTAAATACATTTTAAAAAATTCATACCCCTCAAAATACTCCCAGTTTGCATATATTTATCCCACCCTTCTTGCTACTTTCTGAAGTAGTTGTGGAAGTCTTGTGGGGGGGGGATGTGATCAAAAATACGGTGAGTGCCATGGCTGAGTGCCACCCAGTGGAAAGGCAGCCCCTTCAAAAGACATCGATGTGCCCTCATCTGCCTATTCATCAGATTGGGGGCTGTGGGATTTCTGGCTCTTTCTCCAAATGTCAATAGTAAATGTCTTGAAGTGATTCAGGCCATCGAGGCAGCCATAACAGCACAACTAAAGACACGCATGAAAGGATTTCCAGAACTGCTTCCAAAAGCGGCAAGGATAATGGGCTAAGTATTTGAAGGGAAGAATTGTGAGGGGGATTCATGGCGGGTATCTCTTACTGCAGTAAGTTTTTTAAATAGAAACATTATGTTTTTTGGTCACATCATATCTCCCAATGTGGAGTATTATCCAACCTACAATCCACACAACAGCCGACCTCCTCTTGCCTTTGTGTAGACCAGGCGGGTGGAGCTCTGCAAGGACATCCTACGCGTTCCTGGGCACAGAAAGCTCAGGAACACATCCCCAGAGTCCCTCACCACTGTGCTGTGAGTGCCGGCAGAGTGGAGGCGTGTGCCGACGTGCTGCCATCCACAGCTCAGACGCCTCCCATAAACACTGCCGGACAAATGCGCTGGGAAAAACTGCATCTTTCTGGAATTGGACAGCCTTTCTTCAATCTCATCTTGGCATCAAAAAGTCAAGGACATAGACAGCTACAGGATGCTTAAACTAAGGGATGTAACAAAAATAGCAGACATTGCATAAAAAGGTACTTGTCTTGCTGACAGAGGGAGGGGGCAAAATCGTTTTAGCCGAGATAAATCATCCATTGACTGGCAGTTTGCTTTGGCCTGTGTGGAGGGCAGGGAAGACAGCTGCACATGAGCCCCTAACCATCATCCCCCAGCAAACGGAGCACTAGTGCTGGGGACTAGAACAAATGGAATTTGCCTGAAATCACTTTATTTCTACATGTTTAGTATGTGTTTACAATATGTAGATGTGTACATATGCATTGCTTAGTAATTCTAGTACAAATTTCTTTGGAAAATGAATTGTGACTTATAGCACTTGCCTATTTCTACAGTGTGAATGCCAATTTCAAGTTTTATGAAAAACTAGCTGCAGTTTTTAAAAACTTAGGTTCTTGTGTCGGCGAGATAGCTCATCAGACTAAAGCACCTGCTTAGGCAAGCTTAAGCAAGTGCAGGGACCACGGTTCAATCCCTGGCTCCACATGCAGCACCAGCTCTGCACACAGGGGGCGGAGCTGGCCACAGAGTAGGGGCAGTGGTGCATGCCTGTAATCCCAGCACTGGGGAGGCCCAAAACAGGAGGATCACTACAAGTCCGAGCTGTGCAGTGAGACCCTGAAACAACCAAACACATTTTTAAAAGTTTAGGTTCTTGAAAAATAACACAAACTGATTCCATCACACCAAAATCCCTAAATATTTGACTTGATCAAGGCATTATAAGGAATTCAAAAGAGAAAATCTACCACAAAACATGCTATATGCACATGCAAGCACTCTATTTTTATTGCAACTATACTATTTTAAAATGTGGAAGTATGTGCAACTTCTAAATTATAAAAAGCTGCTAATGCTCCACTTTTATTTATTTATTTTTTGGCAGAATGGGGATTGAACTCAGGCCCTTGCATTTGCCAGGGAAGCACTTATTCTACTGAACCATCTCCCCAGCCCCAATACTCCACCTTCTTAATCACACTAAAATCTATTAACCTAACTGCACTGTCATCGGGTAACCTCAAGAATATGCTCCAGTAAAAACAAATGAGGGGGGAGAGAGGAAAAGAGTAAGATAGAAAACAGAAGGAGATACAGATAGCCCAAGAAGAGAACCTATTATTTCTCTATTTTCTTTTGAAATATTAACTGTTTCAAAAGACTGCTTTGTGTGAGATGCAGTACTAAGTCTTCCTCTGCAAAATATTGTTGTGCCATTCCTTTGGGGAAAAATGTCATGTTCGTGGACCTGGTAAGGGGACACGCTGCCTACCTGTAGCCCTCAGGCTTCTGTCCTCTTCCCTAGGGAATGAGCACAGCCGTCATGCCCAGAACCCAGTCCTTCCCACTCTTCCCTCCTCCCCTCCCGTCTCCACACCGTCAAGGCCGCTCTGTGGGTGACGGCAACACGTTCTCTTCTGGGGGCACAAAGAGGCGCAAGGAGGAGTTGGGAACTGAAGCCTGCCCAGCGCAGGAACGGGGGAGTCAGCTTCCGGGCGCTCGGTGCTGCGGGCCCCAGGGCGGCTGCCCCAGGAGAAAAGAGCGAAGGAGCACGTCTCCGTGCCTCTCCCGTCTCTCCCTCTGCTGCCTCATCTTGGCAGCGTGCTTCCCTCATTTTCTTCCTTTCCTCTTCCCGATTTCACTCCTAACCTCCTTTCTCATCTCAACTATATAAAGAATGTACTCAGTTTATTGAGAACAAATACTGTTTTATGCCTTGCTCTTTAGTTCAAAAACACAAAGGACAAGTCTTCTAAATTTAGTAGGTTTTATTTTTATTGTCAGGACAGTGACCTTATAGTAAATAACATGTTGAAAGTTTTAACCTTTAAAAAAGAATGAAAACAATATTCACATAGAAGGGATTCAACACAAAAGCTCTAAAAATAGAATAATATTGGACAACAAAAAGATGAGACTTGAAATAAAATCCATGAAAATCAAGTTTTATTATGTTTAACCTATGTTCTAGAAATAAATTTACATTTAAATAAGCATAGAAATTACCAATAACTTACCCTCCACCACATTAAGGAACGTGATATATCTCCCATATCTCACTCAGTGTTTAACTAGGCAGACCAGACCAGCAAGCTTCACTAACGTGCTGCAAGTAGCCGCAGGAGAACGGCACGTGTGTGGGACCCACGCATATCTAACCCTGCTCCTCGGTCAAAACGGCCTTCCAGGAGATGAGAAAACATTTAAGTAACGTTTTATTGTTAGCTCTTCTTCCCTCCTCACAAGCCTGATCTTAAGTCCTCTTCCAAATATTGTATGAGTCTGTGACCTCAAGGAAACGGAATAGAGAGGTCAACCCACCCCTACACAAACAATCCCCAGTGTTCTTGATATTCCATATTAAGAAACAGAGGGGGCTGGTGAGATGGCTCAGTGGTCTAAAGCACCTGCTTAGAACAAGCTAAGCTACACAAGGCACAGGGACCGTGGTTCAATCCCCCAGCACCACATGCCAGCCAGCCCTGCCCCCTGGAGGGCTGAGCTGGCCACACACACACACACACACACAAAATAAATAAATAAATAAATAAATCTCTAAAAAAAAAAAAAAAAGAAAGAAACAGAGGCATTTACAGTATTTTAACATTATAAAGCCGTGCATTGCATTATAATTAATTCAGTCTCTTTAACAACTATGATGGTAGACAGTACCCTGCTTCGTTGCAAAATACACACATACACACAGATTACATTCTGACGTTCATTGTATATGCAATAAGGTAGCAGTTATATGTTAGCTGCTGGTGACATATATTCAACCAGCTAACAATACACTGCCAACCCATCGCACACAGGTAACCGTACACTCCGTACACTCCGTCAACAAGAGGAGTATGTATCCAGAAGCACACAGCAGCCAGCTGGCTCCCAACCTGACCCAAAGCAGCCTCCTAAGAGTACTCTGCCTCCCTGATGCAGGGTGCTGCTTCTCATGAAGTTCCTGGAAGCTACATTTGTAACAGGATACACAGTAGCAAGACGACTCTGAAAGCTTAGCTGTGTGTTCAATTTACAGTCACCACTTGAACGTCGAAAAAGATTATCCTGGGGAAAAGAATCTGTGAAAAGTGTTGATGGGTTCAAACCAGAGTCTAAGAGTAAAAAATTAAAGGTGCACCACTTCGCCTACAAAGGAATATGGCGTATGTTCATAATGAGAAACTTAAAACATATAAGTGCTGTTTATACGGAGACATTTTTAATTTTCAAAATTTTTACACTGATTACAACAGAAACTAAAGCCCTCTGGGTTGGGCCTTTCCAGGGCAGAATTACTATTACACCTGATCAAGATTTACATTGCTAAGAGCCCTGGACTAAGTCACTTCTCCACACTGTCCACAAGATGTCACCATTTCCACTTCCTTGGGAAGCGCACCACAACAGAGAGGAGCAACTAGCAACTGCTAAGAGGAAGGTGTAGCAGCCAGCTAGCAACGCACTGCCTGTCTGTCATACCCAAGTCTCATCTGTTGCTCTTAAGGCAAAAACTAGAAAGCACCATTCGGACACAAATGATTACCACTATCTGTCAGAGCTTCAGTTTCTTTGTTTTAGTATCAGATTCTGTACTTATTTTCAGACCAGCTCATACTTCTTGCACACGCCTTTTTAAAGCAATTATCAGTTTACTCAAAATCAAAATGAAGACAAAGCAGGAGCAAGCCTGGACACTCACCTTGGGGCAACCTCGGCCTCTCTGCAGCTTCATGCTCTGGGCGAGCACCCGCATAACATTCTCCTTTGAAAACACAGATAACACGTTGAGAATGAAACTAATTGAATAAATAATAACGTTAGGTGTGTACTGTTTCTAGATCTTGAGCTTTTCAAACCACATTCACTTTTTTAAAGCAATCAGGCACCTCCGCAATATAACCAATTACACAACTCAAAATTAAAACCAAGGTGTAGTGTTTGGGCCACCACACGAGGGTAAACAGGCACTTAAAGGGTGCCTTCCCGAAGACGTCCTGGTGGAGAGTGGGGAGGAGAAAGAGAAGGGCGCTCCTCACCCACCGCGCCTCCTCTTCGGTCCGGATCCTCCGCGGAGCGGTGAGCTCCAGTTTCCACTCCATCTCCCCAGCAGCCGCCGCACCTGCAGAGCAACTACGCCCGGCCGCTTCCGGTTTCCTCCCGCGACTCGGCCAGATTTAATTAAGGTCTAAGCGTTAAAGCCCTACAGTCTCCTTCTCCAGAACCGTCACACTTCACGCCCTACCTCCGCTGTCCCCGACTCTTCCCACCGCCCTGAACGTGGTCCCCCGGGTACCCTTTAAAAACCCGGCGGGGCGGCCCGCAGAGCGGGAATCCCCCTCCCGCCCTCCCATTGGCAGGAGCTCGCGTGACGTCACCGGGAGGGATTCCCCGCAGCGGCCCCGCCCCGC